GACAGCAACTTGTCTGTTCCCCTTCCCCCAATTCCCCAGCACTGTTCCCATCCCCCCAATTCCCCAATAAAAAAAAAAATGCCAGTCACAAAAGTTTACATACTATATGGTTCCATTTACATAACATATTTAAAATGAGAAAATTACAAAACTAGAACATGCATTAGTGGTTGCCAGAGATTAAGGGGCAGGAAGGAGGGAAGTGGGTGTGGCTATAAAAGGGCAACAGGAGGGGTCCTTGTTGATAGGGATGTTTAATATCTTACTGCATCAGCATCCTAGCTGTGATATTGTATTATAGCTTTGCAAGATGGTACCAGTGTGGGGGTTAGGTAAAGGTTAGATAGGATCGCTCTTACAACTCCATGTCAATCTATGGTTATCTCAAAATAAAAAGTTCAATAACAAAAACAACTTTACCCATACATATCTGTCTGCAACTTACTTTATAAACAGTTAAAATACACACTATATGCACAAAATATAAAGAGACAGATAAAGCATTGCAAAATGTTAACAACTAGTGATTCTAGGTGTACCAGTCTTTAACTTTTCTGTAAGTTTGCAGGTTTTCAAAATAAAACACCAAGGGAAAAGGAATAGCCTCTAGTTTCTAGATCCTTTGGTTTCCTATTGGAAATGATCCACATCAAAATTACTCCTATCTGGGGGTGGCTGGGTGGCTACTTGGTTACAGCATGTGCTCTTCACAACAAGGTTGCCAGTTCAATTCCCACATGGGACAGTGGGCTGTGCCTCCCTCAACTAAGATTGAAAAAAAACGGCAACTGGATTTGGAGCTGAGCTGCGCCCTCCACAACTAAGACTGAGGAACAACAACTTGACTTGGAGCTGATGGGTCCTGAAAAAACACAATGCTCCTCTTCCCTAATTCCTCAACACTGTTCCCTTCCCCAATTCCCCAGTAAAATTAAAAAAAAAAAATTACTCCTATCTGGCTGAGTTCTGTGTTTCCATAAGTACCCACAGCCTGGAGAAAAAGGTAACAAGCCATGTGGCAGTGGCCTCCGAGGTCTGATCTAAAAGGATTAAAAATATCCTAATGACTGGAGATAGAGCCTGTTGTATTACTTAAGTTTTCCTGTGGAAAAAACCAGCATTATTATCACTCTACTCAGCAATTTGGAAAGCATGTATTTTCACGTCTGTCAATATGTAATTGTTATTTGCTTGGTTTTTTTTAAGCACGAGTTTGTTTACTTCTTTCAAGTAAAAGAACACCTGAGTGACATTGCTCCACCATGATGCAACTCTTAGGACTTCTTCCAGCCATTCCAGGAAATGGAACAGGTGTGACTATCTATAGGCAGGAACACTGGCTCTGGAATTACACAGACCTGGGCTCAAATCACTGACTGGCTATCAGAACTGTGTGGGCCTCAGTGAAAAATGATGATGATAGTAAGATTAGTGTGGGACTTTCTATGAGGATTTAATGGTACAAGGAAAGTAAAGGGATCAGCACAAAGTAGAGCTCAACAAATTTTGCTACTATTATTAGCATTTAAAATTACAGTAATACCTTGGTTTGCGAGCATAATTCGTTCTGGAAACAAAGTACTCGTATTACAAGACATTGCTCGTTTGCCATGTTAAAATGTATTAGAAATGTTTGCTCGTCTTGTGGAACACTCGCAAACCAAGTTACTCACAATCCAAGGTTTTACTGTATTTCATTAAGGTAAAACAGTCAAAAGTATACTGTACAGGAATAATTACTCATGAAATTACTTTAAGGTTAATATTAACATCACGTTGTTTTAGAATCATATGAGATAATGCATATACGAGTTATAAAATTATAATTTTATAGCAGTATAAAAATTATGCAAATATGGGAATTTTGCTTAGAGACAGCATAACATAGTGGAATCAATCTGATATTTAAAATCAGAAGACTCAGAGTTAAGTCCTGACTCCACACTTACTGGCTATGTGATCTCCGTTCAGTACTGAAACTGCCTGAGCCTTCTCATTTTCAAAAATGAGGTAATATTCCCTGTGCAACAGGATTGCACAGATTAAAGTTTAGAAAATCTACACAAGAATACTTCATAAAATTAAAGCACCTGTGACATCAGCAAATACAAGTTTTTTTACTGTAAATACATTTTCTGCATGAAATGTCATTCATTATAATTAAATGTTGAACCTGATAGAAAAACAATTTCTGAAGATGACAGAAATGATTAAGAAAACTTAGGGGATTTTAAAAAATGCGGTCACTGGGGCCGGCCGAGTGGCGCGATGGTTAAGAACTCGCTT